GCGGTTTTATTATTTTGACAATGATGTCACTTTGACAAAATTTACGCAAGTTAAATAACAAAAATGTTTGTGAAAAACATAATTTTAATAAATAGCAACTTAAAGAAAGTCATTTTTAACAAGAACTATCATCATTTAAATAATAAATTAATTGTCACAGTCATATTCAGGGTGCGTCAGAACTCGCGCCCCAGAAAAAATTTTCAAGTAAGGAACATGACAAAAATGTTTAAAAAATTCAATCTGTCAAAAAAATTTGACATTTGACATTTTTTTATGTCTATTTAATGATACCGATGATCTTGTATGTTTTTTTTATAATTATCTAGTAGAGGTACAAAAATTTTGTTATTAAAAGCCACAAATAACATTGAACAGAGTTACAATTTAGGATACAGCTTCCTTGTTTCCTCTTTTAATTGCCTATAGCAAAAAAACTTGGAAAATTATTTTTCCAACAGAAATATATAGAGTCAAAGTGCAAACTTTAAACCCTCATAACTTCGAAATTTTTATAGATAAAATTTTTTTAACATTTTGTCCATGTTCCTGGTGTCTTACCTTATATGGCATTTTTCTCTGGGGCGCGAGTTCTGGAGCATCCCTGTATAGTTGTCAAATAAATAAAACCGCCAATGTGATAGGACTTAAAAAGCAGAGAAAAAATATTCTAAGTTGAAAATCAAGAAAAAAATTATCTTTTCTTTTCAATGAATCAGAATTATGAAGTTTTAGGTACAAATTTGCTAGTTTCAGGTAAAGCAAAGAATGTTTTGTAAACTCAATCTGGAGACATACTGTAAAATAAGTTTCAATTTGTTATTTGAAGTGATAGAAAAATTTGCAAGTGCTGAATTGTTAAATCTCATTTTGTTGTTTCAAGAACTGAATAAAGAAAAAGTTTCTAACTTTGTTAGTACATTATAACAATAATTTACTCTTTTTAGAAGTCCTGTTTGGGTGATATTATTTGCGCAGTGTATAATGATTTATGTAAAATAAATGACTAATCAATAATGTAGATAAAACTCCCATTTCGCTTTTATAATTTATTTCCTGTTAATACTTTTGCCTAACAATTTCCATAAATTCCACAAAACCAAAACCATTGTCAAACATTTGTTGTTACATTTATGAAACATGTGTGTTTTGTTTTCCAAAAACAATTATTGTTGCAATAATAAGTATAAACAATTTTTCTTTTTTGTCACAATTTATGAGGAGAGACACGAAGCGTATAAATCAAATTACATTTTAATTTAAAACGTTTTACATTTGCGTTTTAAGCTGTTATGAAATTAATTTGTTTTGTTAAATTCTTTCATTTCGAGCTGTCACTAGGAATTCATCCTCCGGCGAAATGAATTCATGAACGTGACAAACTCTGTTGAAATAACAGCAACTGTTACCGCCATATAACCGAGAGTTTGCTTTAAAATATTCCTCGGGGAAGTCCCGCACTGAACCCGTCTGTCCAAACTCCCAGTATTTAATCTTTCCTCGCATAAGTTGGCCGTCATTCCTTTCATACATTTATTTAAGCATTTTATGTAGATTTCTGGCTGTTATGGGGCCCACTCTTCTGGATTTAAAAATTTAAATCAAAAATTTATAAGCTTTAACCAGATTTTTGACTTTGATCGAGATTGAGAACGTGAAAAAAATATAAACGGGGATATCAAGCGTATGTTAGCGGAATGGATTGGACGTGGGGAGTGGAGACCAGAGTTATCAGGTACTTTGGCTTCTTTTGTCATGTTTCAGATTTAACAATGTCCAAGGGATTAGGACTCGTTTTATTTTTCCTCGTTTTCTTGCTTTTAGCAGCGAGATCATATCGAGATGCTTTATTTTGTTTAAGAAACTTATCGCATGTTTTGCGTGTTTGATAAAAAATTAATGAAAAAAACATCCAATGTTTTCCGAAAACGAATCATCATTCACTTCCACACCAATATTAGGTCAATTCTGAAATTTCAACGACGCAAAAGTGATTGATGAGTTTGAAAACATTAGATGAGAGCGAATAAAACGCTAATTAATTTTCACTTACGCTAAGCAATTCTAAAAATACCTAAACATTTCTTGATTTTAACTGAGGATAACTTGTGTTTATAAACAATAAGAATATTAACCACAAATAATATTTAATCTTATAAAATTGTTAGAGTTTTAATTAAATTATTTTCACTAAAAAGTGCAAAAAGCTAAGAACTTCCTTTAACACCTTTGGCTTTTTTCTTGTGCAAACATGCTTTGAATTAATGTGTTTATTTGTATTTAACTTTTTCTCATTCTTTGCACGAATTGGTTCGTTTTATAAGAATTGACGAACTGAACCTAAAAAAGCAAGTTTATTCAACAATAGCAGGTGAGCTTCATCTTGTCCTCTCCGTTCTAAATTGAATTCCTATAAAAAGATCTGTTTATCATCCCCTTTGTACATTTTTAATACGAATAAATATTGACTGAGCTTTGGGCGATTTCCGAAGCTTCGAAAAGCCCCAAATTTGTCCGGGATTAAGCGCAGTATGTTAAATATTCACAGAGCCCAGATTTAGGTCTCCAAATCTGATGGATTTATAAGGTTATCTACCGTTATTTATTATTTACACAACTAGAAATTACAATGTTTTACAATGAAATTATTTGTCACGTCAAACAAGTCTATAAAATTTACAATGCTGTAAAAAGTCGTATCCAGTTTTCAAACATTGTAAAAGCACCAACTTGTTATCCGGGAGAGATAAAAAACATTGCCGGATTTAACAAAGCAACAACGCTGACGCTTTCAAGTTTCGAATTTATCCGTTTGTCACCAGTCTTGCTAATAAAAATTATTTATGGACAATATGGCGGTGAATTTGACCCCGAGTGCTAATTTTAATGATAAATCACGTGCTTCGAATGAAAATGTGTTTTTTTCTTTGTGTAATTCCGGTGGTTATTGCGTATAAATCCAGAACGGTGGAGATTAAGTATCGACTAAAAGTGATTTAGTTATATTTGAGCTTTTAGCAAAGGGAATATTTCGGAATTGTGTATGAAGAGATTGGCTGGGAGCCAATGGAATTGGTCTAAAGCATATGTTTGCTTTCAATTCCACTAATTTAACCAGGAATTTACCAAGGATTTGGATTTGGTAGACTGATTTCTGCGATAATGAGAGCTGCCTCAGACTCAACTAACAAACTGACCTTAATGCCCAGATGAAAGCAGCGATAATGAATTTTTTACAAATGAAAATGAAAACACGCAAAGTTATTAGGTTTAGTGGTCAAATGAGAAAAAAAAGTTGTTTTGTCATTTTTGCTTCTTTATTACGTTACTGTAATAAATATTCGGATACCAGAGACCATTTGTAGCCAACAGTTTTTGCCACTATGTTATCGGTGGTGTCGACACGTTCAAATAAAACAAGACGATTTATTTTATTTTTACTGTAAAATAAAGTATTTATTTGTAAAGATAAAATTTAATTTTTTGTTGTATTTTTGTTGCTAAATCGTGCTTGAGGAAAATGTTTAAATCGATATGCGCAATGATAATAAATAAACAAAGTATTTAGTAAACATTATTCAATATTTTCATACTTGTCGATAACTTTAAACAAAAATAATAATCACTTGAGGGTCATTTTTGTTTGAATCTTAGTTAAAGTAAAATTGTGCGTAACATAATCAAGAATGAATAATGGAATAATTTTCAGATGGAAGTAATAAAGTGGCCCTCCCATTAATCTTTTCGCAATTTCCAACAATAACTCAATAAGCATTTTTCACTCCATCTGAAGCAGGAAAATTAATTTTCTCAATTTATTTTATCCCCGTCTAATTTTCAACAGTAACGTCGTTCCTCATTCCAGAAGCGAAGAAAATAATTAAAAATGAAAACCACACTAATTGAATTCATTAAATATGATTATTTTTCTCGCAACCTCTCCTTTCCAGATTTATCATTCTTTCCCAAAAATGAAGGCTGTAAATTAAGGAAGAGATCTTAAAAAATGTTCGATTTCAGGATACCGGAATGGACAGCGGAATCATTTCGAGGATAATAATTCCAGCCATTATTTGCGGTCCGCAGGATCATCTCTTGAAGGATTTTTTAATAACCTCCATTAAAACACCAACATTTATAACTTCTGCTTGGAGCATTTTGTCGGGAATTACACCCTTGCGAACAATAAACCACCAACCAGGCTCTTAATTTCGAATCCATTTCGTGCACAAAATAGAATTTTATTCCCTTTTAACCCAACTAATTGAACATTTGTCAGAAATTGCAACCATAAACACGGAATTTCGGCCAAATAAATTCCATTCACCTGTGTTAAATGGAACTTTTTTCAGGGTTTGGGGCTCGTAAAATTACCTAACCAGCCCATTTGTGTGAATTCACAAATTTTCATGCACATAATAGAAGTAAAAAAATTGTAATGTATCTCTTTTTTTATAAAAAAAACTAACGATGGCTCTGAACCCGGAAAAGAAACCCTTTGTGGAACAAATCTCTCGGTTATTATGGCCTTCTTAACAGCCGTGAATACGTAAATAATAACGTACGATGTATAGATATTTACGTTCAAACTTATACCAAGTAATTCCCTCAAAGTAGTAAATAATTTTTTGAACTAATTCCGCCACACTCTTTCGTAATAAAAACTGTAACAGTTCATTAACAAAATAAAATTTAAACGGAAACACCTTTTGCTGGAACCATTAAAAACCAGAAAAATTGTGAGAATAAATGTAATTAAACGAAGCAATTATTTTAATTCCGCAGAACCACAATAATGATTAATTCACCGTAAATGTTATAATTTCGTCACAAAATTTATAAATAATATTATGTCAGAGTTGATTTGCTACTCCACTTTTGTCAATAACAAACAATTTCGCCAGACACAAAACTGATGCGTAAGGTAAATAATTGACCTACAAACGCTTTAAATAAGGTAGAAAAAAACTGATTAGTCTTCAGTTTCGCTCATCCATCCGTAGCGTCTCGTCGCAGTTTCCGTGAAATGTGCAAAGTGTAATTAATCATAAGTTAAAAATGAAATTTATCAACATTTTCCTCGTCTCGTTGGTGCTCGCCCATTCCAAGAGCGGCTCAGCAATGGCCATTATAAAAGAGTGAGTACTTAAGAAAACACATTAAAAGCGCCCCAAATTAGCACGCATCTAAGCCCGTTTTATCTCCGCCGAGTAATATTTATTTAATAACTTCTTATGAGGGAAAATGGGCCGTAAATTCGCGTAATACAAAGTGTGGTAAACACAGATAAAGCTCTGTAATCTCTCAGAGACAAGGGAAGGGGCGGTTTTACAGTCCCTTACAAATGTCATAAGCTCAGTGAAAACAAAATCGTTTCGCTTAATTGGAATGTTGGTTATTTCGAGTCGAGTGTAATAAAAGCAATTTTCCTGAAAGCTCAAGTTTAGAAAAGTTTCAGTGGCCGACGTACGAAATACGCGACATTGAGTTCAAAGTTTTTCAGGTTCTTACTGTTATTTCCAAGTTTGATATTTGACTCTTCTTTTTCTCGTAAAAAGTGTGTCGTATTGGAACAAATAACGAAAACTCAACTATCCAAAGTTAGTTACTTACTGTAGTCAATTTAATAAAATCCACCAACTTTTTACGATACAAAATAAACATGTATGTTTATTTTTCTTTATAAAATGTATTTACGTGTGTAGCACCCCACGCACCATTACATACAGGGTGTCCCAGCGAGTTTAAAAACTCTATTAGTGACCTTTAAATAATAAAAAAAATAGGCCATTGATAGATACTAATCTTGTGCATCACCTAAAATTATTTTCAACCATACAGCATGTCTCAAAAATAAGTTACGATACAAACTTGTGTTTTTTTAAATGAAACACCGTATGTTTCTTTGCATTTTTGAATGTAGCCTTTTAAAACAATGTTTTTACACTAAACTTTTATTAATCGATTTCACTTAGTTTTAGCAATAAGACATTTTTTTTGACGAAAACATGCACTTTTTAAAAGCTAGAACAAATTTTTTCTTACTTCTGCAAAGAAGAAAGTACGGAATCTAAAGCTGTAGAAATTTTTTAGTGTTTTTATTTGTAAAGATTAATAAATTAAGAAGTTAACTAAAAGTTAATTAACTTAAAAAAGTTAAATGGAACACTCTATTTTTTATTTTTGCATTTAATAGATTGATAAATTGTCTATCTAAAAAAATAAATTTTTAATGTCTAGAATTAATAAATGAAAAGATATTTAACATTCAATATTAATTATAGCAACAATGCCTATCAATATCTGGGTGTTGTTGATACTTTGGAAACCATAGTAATTCCACCACGGATCAGTTATCCCTTGATTTATCGAGAGATTGATTGTAAAACTCGTTATAAATACTGAAATTCAAATTATTTTATTGTAAAAATAAAGAATAGTGGATTCAGTTTAACACAAATGTGATTATTAAGTGATATTTCTTCCATCTCTTGTGTAACTGTGCACTTTTGGCTACTGAAACAATAGTATTTTTTTAGTGTTTAACGTTAAATATCTTTTTAGTTATTAATTATAAACACCTAAAAGTAAATAATTTTATAAAGACAATTTAATAATCTTTTAAATGCAAAAACAATAAATAGGATGTTCTATTTAAATTTTTTAAGTTATTGAACTTTTAACAAACGCCTTCATTTTTTATCTTTGCAAATGCAACACACTAAAAAAATGTTACAACCTTACTTTCTTTTTTTGCGGTAGTAAAAAAAATATTTCTAGATGTCTTCGTTTTTGTGTAATAAATTTTTAAAAAGTGTATGTCTTCGTCAAAAAAAAACGTCTTATTTTTTAAACTAAGCAAAATCGACCAATAAAAGTTTAGCTTCTTAAAAACATTGTCATAAAAATCTACATCCAAAAACACTAAGAAACATATGGTGTTTCAATTAAAAAAATAAAAGTTTGTATTGTAATTTATTTTTGAGACACCTGCATAGTTGAAAATAATTTTAGGCGATGGACTAGATTAGTATCTATCAAAGTCCTATATAATTTTTTTTAATTTTACCATTTAAAGGTTACTAATGGACTTTTTCAACTCGCTGGGACACCCTGTATAGTGTGTACAGAGTGTATAAACTGTCACAAACCCGTCTACGAACCTACTCTAGATTTAAAATGATTACATTTCCGTGAAAAGAGAGTGCATTACGTCAACAGTCAAGAAAATGCTAAAATATTACGGGATAAGAATCCTGAAATTGCTTAATTTGCAACTGTTTCGCTGACAAAGTTAACAGTTTTCAGGAATCTTTTTCCACGCGAGTGAAGTTTTCATTAAGAAATTTCCCTTAACAAGATTTGCGCCACCTTTTCTATCTCATCGCGATTTACGATAAAGCTCAACTGCTTTGTCACTCTTGTAAAGTTTTATTATCTTCTTTGCAACTTCCAACATTAAAATAAAGTTCACACAAAGTTTCACGACCCCAAGGACTTACTTTACCCGGACTCGGTATCGCGTTATTAGGTTAGTGGACAAGTGTGAGTCGAAAACTAACTTAAAGAAAACATTACGAAATTAACCAAGTTGATAATAAACACGATCCTTTGAAAACTCCTTCATCCAATTACAAGATATGTCAGCGCCCTTCTTACTGAATGAACTATTAATTTCCTGTGTTGTGACAGTCTGGTTTCGGAGCCGGAAAGCAGTCTGGATTGCAGCAGTGGTGAAAGCACCCAAACCCCGGAAGCAACCAATGTCCGCAGTAAGAGCCCCGAAACCGATCCACTAAATGATGTGGCCGTGCCGCAACTCCCGGAGGACCCCAGGGAACCCCCGACGACCGACTCAATTATCTCCAAAATGCGAAGATGTGCAAGGTAATGTCACGAAACTGCAATTTCCACACTCCCACCAAGTTTTACGAGTTTTTCGGCATACAGAGTGTTCCTATAATCTGAAATTTCAAACCTTCTTACTCAAAAAACAAAACTTTGACTCTTATTTCTTATTTCTTATTATTTTTACTAGCTGTTGCCCGCGCCTTCGCTCGCGTGGTAGTTTGACATCCACAACTATTTCAAAACGCAGAAGGGCTAAGAAACTTACTAACAAAATATAGCAACACATATTTATTATGAATTTCGTAGTAAAAATAAAAAGTCCGTCTTTTATAACTTATTTAAAAACCGTAAAATTTTAAGTCTTATTTCATGAATATTACTTAACAATGACAAATTTTGATACAAATTTTCATTTCATGTTTAACTATACATATTTATACAAACTTTCATCCCTTATTTGACCCCCTTAGGGATAGAATTCTCCAAAATCTTGAAACACGTGCTATCTTGTTTTTAACTGAGCACCCAAATAGATTTAAGTTAAAAAAAACGGATATTTTACGAAGTTTTACCCTTGTTTGAGGGTGAAATTTCCAAAAATCCTGAAACACTTAGTACTTGATTTTTAATCGAAAGCCTAAATACAAATTTTCAAGGATTTAACTTTATAAATGACATATTTTAATACAAATTGTCATCCCTGTTTAACCCCCTAGAGGGTAAAATTTTCAGAAATCCTAAAACACGTGTTTCTTCATTTTTAACCGAAAGCCCAATTCCCAATTTTCATAAATATAACTTCAAAAATGACGAATTTATAAATATTTATACAAATTTTCATCCCTTGTCTGACACCTTTGGGGATGAAATTTTCCGGAATCCTAAAACACGTGTTTTTTTTGTTTTTAACTGAGAGCCCAAATACCAATTTTCATGAATTTAACTTAAAAAAAACCAAATATTTTACGACCTTTTACCCTTGTTCAACCCCCTTGGAGGTGAAATTTCCAAAAACGGTAAAATACGTATTTTTTTATTTTTAACCGAAAGCCTATATACCAATTTTCATGGCTATAGCTTTAAAACTTCGAATTCACCACCCCATTTAACCCCCTTAGGGGTTGATTTTCCAAAAATTCTTTCTTATTGGATGCCTACGTTATAAAAAGTATCTACTGTAAAAATTTGAAATTTCTGTCTCCAGCGGTTTAGGCTGTGGGTTGATAGGTCAATCAGGACAAGCCTCTTTATATATATTTCTTATTTCTTATTTCTTATTTCTTATTTCTTATTTCTTATTTCTTATTTCTTATTTCTTATTTCTTATTTCTTATTTCTTATTTCTTATT